GTAACTTTTCAAAACAAGAGATATATGGTGTAAGCAAATATCAAATGAGTCTCCATGGATGGTAAAATCATCCATGAAAACTTCCATAAATAGTTCAACATATTCAGAGAATATGCTCATCATGCATCTTTGGAAGGTGGCTGAGGCATTGCATAGTCTAAATGACATGCGTCGGTATGCAAAGGTACCAAACGGACAAGTGAAAGTGGTTTTCTCTTGATCTTTATGGGCTATAGGTACTTGAAAATACCCAGAGTAGCCATCAAGGAAACAATAGAATTTATGCGCGGTGAGTCTCTCAAGCATTTGGTCAATCAAAGGTAAAGGAAAGAAATCATTTCTAGTTACCACATTGAGTCTACGATAATCTATACATACCATCCGTCCATTTTGAATTCGGGTGGGTATAAGTTCTCCATGTTTGTTCTCCACCACCGTGACTCTGGTCTTCTTAGGAACAACTTGGGTTGAACTAACCCACTTGCTATCGGAAATGGGGAAGACTATCCCCGTTTGAAGTAGCTTGATGACTTCCTTCTTGACCACCTTCATCATAAGTGGGTTCAATCTTCTTTGTGGCTGCCTCACCGGCTTAGCTTCATCCTCCATCAAAATGCGATGCATGCATTTGGATGGACTAATGCCTTTGATGTCGATTATAGTCCATCCAATTGCTAGTTAGTGCTCCTTGAGCACCACAATCAACATCTCGTTCTTGCCCTTGGATCAATTTGTTTAAAATGATGACCGACAAGGTTTCTTTCCCCCCAAGAACACATTTCAAATGTTCCGGGAGTGGTTTCATCTCAACTTCGGGTGCATGCAAAACTAAAGGCAAAGGCTTTCTCTCGAGGATGGTTAGTGAGAATGCCCTTGACCCCGGTGGCATAAGTGGAAGTTGGAAGTGATTATTCAATTCCACCATCATAGCTTGTATGTTAGGGGTCAAAGCAAGTTCTAAAGTATTCCCCCCCACATCGTTCTCAATTACACTCAACAACTCATCCTCTCCATTAATTTCAAAAGCATTTTGCACAAGAGGATCAAGAATATCAATGGCAAACAGAGAATGATTTTCACTTGGGTATTTCATGGAATCGTAAATGTTGAATTCAACTTTATCTCCATCAAATTCCATTGTTAAAGATCCGCTGAAGACATCAATTTTTGTTCTAGCGGTTTTTAAAAATGGCTTTCCTAGAAGGATATGAACCACATTCTTATCATTCTCCATTTCTAAAACAGAAAAGTCGACGAGAAAGATCAAACTGTCAACCATAACTAACACATCTTCAACAATACCCTTAGGGTAAGCATTTGATCTATCCGCAAGTTGGATTACTACCCCGGTTTCATTTAAAGGGCCAAGCTCAAGTAATTTATATAAAGAATAAGGAATGACATTAATTGACGCTCCTAGATCTAGCATTGCCTTTGAAAAAGTGGTGCCCCGAACTTACAAGGTATAGTGAACATGTCAGGGTCATTGTTTTTCTTTGGAAGTTTCTTTTGAAAAATCACCGAAACACGTTCATTAACTTGTACTTTTTGTTTTCGATTAAGTCTATGTTTCCTCTTGATTGTACATAGTTCTTTTAGAAATTTAGCAAATCTAGGAACACCTTTGATCAAGTTAAGGAGAGGAATATTTACCTCACATTTGTTGAATGTTTCGTAGATGTCTTTGTTTTTCTTTACCCTTCGTGTTTCCCTTAGAGCCTCGGGAAATGGTGCCACGATCTCATGAACGATCGGCGGTGGAGTTGAGTTTTGAGGTCCTCCTCTTTCCGCAAGCTCTTCTCCCCCCTCCTCGCCAATGTGGCTCTTTGCTTTCTTCTTGGCAATCACCAATTTTTTTCCACTCCTCAATGTCACCGCATGGGCTTGTTGCCTAGGATTCAACTCCGTTTGAGATGGGAGATTTCCCGAATCCTTGACTTCGAGCCTACTCACCGCACTTGAGATTTGACTCATTTGGTTCTCAAGATTTTGTATGCTAGATTTTGTCTCATGTTGAAATTGGACCATGTTTTGTTATATGGTCGAGACATTTGAGGCGAGGGTTCAGATCATGTCTTTGGTGGACATATTTTGGCCTTGTGGTTTGGGGTATGGACCGTATGGTTGTTTATTTTGAGGGAAAGATTGATTTTGTGAAGAGTTGTTTTATTGTCGGTTTCCTTGAGGATCATCATATCTAAGATTTGGGTGATCTCTCCACTTGGGATTATAAGTGTTGCCATAAGAATCGTACCTCTTTTGATTTTGGAACCCCAAAGCGTTGACTTGCTCGGGGTCATCTTTTTGAAGTGTTGGGCATGAGTCGATAGGATGCCCCTGTTGAGTACATATGCCGCATACCTTGGCCTCTTGGGTTCTAGGATTTAAGAGTCTTTAACCAAAGAAATCAAGTCAGCTACTTGACTCTCCAATGATGATGTGGATTCCGCCGCGACAACTTTTCGGATTGAGGACCACCCGTTGTAATGCCTAGAGTTCTCGGCCAACTCCGAGATGAGGTTCTTTGCTTTAGAGGGGGTTTTGTTACAATGCCTCCTCTGCATGCCGCATTTACCACGCGTCTATCATGTTGTGGATCGTTGCGCTTACTGCTACACCAAAAGCAATTGCTGATAGTGTAGCACGCCCCCCCTTATAGCATAGGCAAAGCGCCACACAGTTCGATTGCACCGGTAGGCTGTCAGATTGTTGGCACTGCATACCCGCGGCCCAACAATCTCCCCCCAACACCTGCCAGTCTCAACTGCGCAGCATGCTGTTGTCGGGTGTCGAACCACTGACCTTGGCTCTGATAGCAATTGTTGATCATTGCGCTTACCGTTACACCAAAAGCAATTGCTGATAGTGTAGCAGGCCCCTCCCCCTTTATAGCACAAGCAAAGCACCACGCGGTTCGATTGCACCGACAGGCTGACAGATTGCTGGCACCACATACCCGCGGCCCAACACATGTTTCGCAAGACCATCATAGAAGTAGAGGATGAGCTCTTGCTCCATGTACCCATGTTATGTGCAATTACCATAAAGCTTCTTGAAGCGCTCCCAAAATTCATAAAGTGATTCATCATCACCTTGTTCAATATTGCTTATTTGCTTCTTTAAAGATGATGAGACGGGTGCGGGATAATACCTTTCCAAGAAGCATTTCTTCATAGTCATCCATGTATCTATACTTCCCGAAGGAAGATAGAAAAGCCAACCCTTAGCAGTATCCTTGAGGGAGAATGGAAAAGCCCTTGGTTTGATTTGTTCCTCGGTGACACCGTTTGGACACATGCTTGTGCAAACTACGTGGAATTTCGACAAGTGTTTGTTCAGATCTTCCCCTCTTAGGCCATGTAAAGATGGCAGTAGATGAATGAGGCCAGATTTTAGCTCAAATGTATTACGTTCATTTAATGTAGGGAAGGTAATACACAATGATTGTTGATTGAGATTTGCAGCGGTGAGCTCACATAGTGTTCTTGTCTTGAGAGCCATATGTGTGGGCTCTTCAGATTCACTAGAGCTAGAGCTAGAGCTAGCGTTGGATGAATCTCCGGTAGATGATTCCTCCGAGTCGGTACATGAAAATTTACTTTTCAACCGCTCGAAAGTTTGTTATATTTTCGGGTTTGCTTGATAAGTGAGCTCGTTTAAAGAATGAGTTTTTACAATATACTCATATAAGCTCGGGAAATAGAAAAACAAGAACTCTTTATATTTTTATTAGTTATTTTTTTTCTTAAATAAAATAAAAGAAAAATTATTGGCTTTTCCCGGCAACGGCGACAAATTTGACGAGCACTTGGTAGTGGTGTGCCTCAAAATAATTAATCAATGCAACAATTATATGTAGTATAATGAAGTAAGGTTCGTTAGGTAACAAGGTTTTTTTAGATTGTTGATGAACTTTAGATATATTAAGCACTAAGATGAACGACTTATGTGTTTTACTTAATTGAGATGAAGACTTGACTTTGCTTCTTATATCCACTTAATGAAGTGTTTGTCAATCCTGGTTATATCTTTAACTATCTTCATCTCGAATACTCAATCGAGGAGTATATCCAATTCATCGAGGGTAGTTATTAATTACGAGACGCGTTCATTAATAAAACTTACTAACGAGTCAATATAGAACACGCGCCATATATTAACCCGATAGTAACAATAAACTTAAGATGAAAACGAATCAGATTGATAACCTCAACACAAGCGGTTTATTGGTTCAATCAATATAATTAATTTCCCTTAGATTATTAATCATGAGGCGCATGCATTAATAATCCAAGTTTACTACCGTGAAAGGACCGAACGATTAACAAGCGTATTCGTCAATCGATTCTAGTAATGATTAATATATGAAACAAAGCTAATTGATCCTTTAAGTAATGATCAAAATATCAATATGAAATATGAATAGGAATTAATTAATATTCAAGAAAGATGATCAAAGAAAATAACTCACAACTTACAAATCATTAAGCTTTAACGCAGCAAAACAAAGATGAAAGAGTTTAGCTCGCCGCTTGGAGACTAAACATGCTAAAAATATAAAGAAAGTACTTGACTAAACTGAGTTTAGAAGTATATATGAATTGGTGGTTTTAATGTGAAGGAAAAGAGGTGTATTTATAGGTGTTTGGAGGTGGCAGGGTTGTTTCCCCGACCGGGTTTTTAGGGTACCTGATCGGGTACCTTCAGCAGCTTCCCGGAAGGTGTAGAATAAGGGCATACCCAATCGGGTATGTCGGTGTACCCGATCGGGTATCAACAGAATTTTCTAGATTTTCAGCCATGTTCCAATGTTCTTCCGGATTCGAGTTTGACGTTCGAATCACAGCAAGTACCCGATCGGGTATTGCCTATACCCGACCAGGTACACGAAACATTCTCAAATCTTTAATTGATCTTGCCCCTTTTGCGCATTCTTTGGTCTCTAGGATCATCATTTGATCCTTTTGAGATTTTGACTTGTCCTAAGCTCAAGATAATCATAGTCTAAACAAATTACAAAATATTTAACAAACTAAAATATTACATCAAAAGTGTGTAATTTCCAAGATAACAAACTACAAAACTAATTAAAACTGCAAACATACACATGGAAATTACAAGAGTATCATACTACACATCTCCCCATCAAGATAGGGTACCTCAAGTATCAACCAGGCCCCTCATTGAATAGCTTTTCATTGAATTTGGTTTAACCTAGACACATAAAGAAGAGATGGAGGAAGGGATTAATACATGGCCTCTGGCCTGGTTGCTGCAGCAGCATTCATAGATACTACCAAAGAATGTCCAAAGATATACTCAGTGGCGGACCCAGAGATTTGTGAGAGTAGGGGCACACTAATAGTGAAATTCTTGGCCGGAAACGGGACACTTATTTTACTCTAAATACTAGTAGTAAAATTATTGGCCAAAAGCGGGGGCACTTGTCCCCCTAGGCCCTCCCTAGGTCCTCCACTGGATATACTGACATAGTATGAACAAACGGGCAATGACACATATTGTTCAAAAGATTAGAAACACTCGAAGAGATTTTGACTCTTGATAAAACCTATAATTACTAGAGAACTAAACATGCTACTCGATGGTGATTTCATTTTCTGGCGCACTACCAGAAATCTGCATGTCAAGTTCAGCAGGGAAGTCACCTCTGAGTATTTGAGCTTCAAGCTTGATCAAATCTTTGTTGATCTCCATGACCTCAAGAATCAACCCATCTCCATATTTGACTTTATTATCTTTCAAAAAGTCTTTCCATGTGGTAGAGTCCAAGCTTTTTATGTTCCTGTTTACACACAGAATAGTCCTCCAAGTATTCTTTCCATATGTGATCACTACCGGGACCCTTCCATTAGGAAGCTCAGAGTTCATTTCAGGTGGAAAAACCTAAAGGGAATCAAAGAAACAAGTAAACTGCCTCATAAATGAACATTCAAAACAAGAAATATTTATCAAGAGAAAGCACGTCAATTATTATGTATGTGTAATCTAGAGAAATCACAAACAACCTTAGTGATAAGTGATAACAAATAATTTAAATGAAATGGCATCAATCATACTTGAATTTGTATCATGGTGGCAGCTTGGCCAGATGATATTCATCTTATTCAACCAAATGCTCAAATTTCTAATCTGAAAATTACTATTACCATTTGAGATATGGGTCTCTTTTTTGAGAGGATGAAATCACAGAAAGGTCTCCCAGAGAGCGGCTTAACTGGCACATCCTCAAACTCAGGTGTTACAGAAGATGGATTTGAAGGTAGTCTAACATCTGCTTTTGCAATATTGTTTCTGGGAGATCTGTCCATTTGATAAGCTTTGGCGGGTGGGCTCTCCTGTCATACATCATAATCAGTTTTGCATTTAGAACTTAGAAGCAATATATGAGGAGAGAAATGTTTGGTGCAAAAACATAATTGAGACTTACTATACATGTTATATGCAAAAACAACTCATAAACCAAATGATAAGACCGAGTGATGCACATGTTAGACGACTTGAGGGTTGGGGAGAAGAGGTAGAGAGGACGGGGAGGGGAAGATCCAAACAGACTTGGATTAGAGAAATTAGAACTAAGAGGTAGAGATGAGAGTATGACTTTAGAGAGAATGACTAGAGGGCGCACATTCGTGTATACGATTGATCTCTTTTCTATCTTTCCTCTCTTTTTCTTTCGTTTATATTCTTTATCTTTTATGTATTATGTCATTTTTATCTTATAACTTTTTTATGCTCTTTTATCTTTCTTATGTTCTTATGTTATTGTTATCTTATATTTACTTATCTTTATCTTATCCGTTTTATTTTGCTTTTTTTCTCTTTCTTGTCTGTTTTCTCTTTTTGGCATCGATATCATGGATCGATTCATGTTAGTCGATCCCAGAATTTTTTTGGATCAAGGCTTGGATGCTGTTGTTGTTATTGAGCTTAACCATTACTAATGGATTCCTCATACTCAGCCCCTTACATTTTTGCAATCTTATAAGCTCATATGATTAATAAATTATTTTCTTATTGCATCGTTTATCTATATATAACTATATTCTAACCGATTACGTGTGTCATTTGTAATTTTGCTTATCCATATGGTTGTTGTTGTTGTGATTTGTTAGGAATATTTTATGGTGTCCAATCTAATTAAATATCTTTGTATTTGTGTAGTTATTAATTAAACGTGTAATACAGGCCACAAATGTGTATCAGCCCGGGGGCTTCCTTGTAACCTGTAAGTTAGCTAACTTCTCCTATAAAAGGAGGCTAACTTACGGGAACCCTAACGATCGAAAAGAGGCTTTAAAGACGCAGAGGCGAGATAGAGAGAAGGTTTTCCGCTGCTCTCCTTCTCAAGGAAGAGCAGCGGGGTTTCATACGGTATACCAGATTCGTGTATAATATCGACATATCTTTCTATCTGCTTCTTCTTTAACTTCTATGGTTGTTTGATTGTTAAATAATGGGTCTATCAATTGGTATCAAAGCCGAGGCGTGAAACTGGTTGGATCTATCTGCGATTTTTTTGGATCTAACGAAGAACTGCTCTGTTTTTCGTCTGTTTTTCTATATGTAGAGATTTGCTCCTGTAATCTTGTTTGTGAACGAAATTTTGTAAAAATCATACTGTTGGACTCGCCTTTCAAAACCGATCCAGCAGCACACCTTTTTTTTCGTTTTCTGCAATTTTTATATTTCGAAGATCTCTACATTGAGATCTCGAAATCCTTATTTTTCACTGCTGCAGAAACGTTTTTGGCTTGAAACTGATACAGGAGAATCTCGACCTTCAGGGCTTTTCAGAATAGGTTTCAGATTTTCAAAAATCGAAGTTTTCATTTTGCAGGATCTCGACATTTAGGGACTCGATTTCCTCATCTCGACATTTGACATCTCGAGTTTTGTCATCTCGACATTTGACATCTCGAGTTTTGTCATCTCGACTTTTGACATCTCGAGTTTTGACATCTCGAGTTTGACATCTCGAGTTTTGCAATTTCGAGTTTTGGAATTTCGAGTTTTGGGATTTCGACATTTGGGATCTCGATGTTTTGGATCTCGACATCCTGAAGATTTCGAGATTTTCAAAATTTCTCGATGTTTTGAATTTTTCAAAGTTTGGAGTTTCTTGAATCACTGATTTCTTCTAAACTTGATATCTTTCCTGTTCAGAACACTTCGAAGCTTTACATTTTTAGATATCTGAATGAATCTCTGCCTTTCAAAGTTTTTAGAAGTTTTCGATGTTCTGATGTTTTTCAACAGCAAGTTTTCGATTTTCTAATGTTTTCGAAACTCCAAAGTTTTCGATGTTCCATACATTTTGAAATTCTGCAGATTTCGATATTCTGAGGTTTGTTTTGCAGGTGGATTTCGCCATTATTCTTCGAGGCAACCTCTAGATTGTAATCTCGAGATTTAAAACTCGAGATTGTAATCTCGAGATTTAAAACTCGAGATTGTAATCTCGAGATTTAAAACTCGAGATTGTAATCTCGAGATTTAAAACTCGAGATTGTAATCTCGAGATTTAAACCTCGAGATTGTAATCTCGAGATTTAAACCTCGAGATTGTAATCTCGAGATTTAAAACTCGAGATTGTAATCTCGAGATTTAAACCTCGAGATTGTAATCTCGAGATTTAGGATTTCGAGGTATTGCCTAGAAATTTGTTTAAAATCCACCTGCTCTCGATATTTTTCATCGAGAACCTCAACTTCGAAGAAATTCCTCAAAAACTCAAAAATTCGAGATTTTCTGCGACATCGCACTGTTTTGGCCATAACTTTTGACTCGGTGATCCGATTTGAGCAAACATTTTTTTGTTTGAAAGCTAACGAAAAGATCTACATTAATTCTGGGCTATGTCCCAGAACCCTTCCTCACGCGCCCTCACTCGCAGTCTTTGAGGGTCAAAACGTTAGTTTTCCGCCAAACATTGTAAATCACCGATGTCCAGGTCAAAACTTAGGCAAATCTGTTCAAATTCTTTCAAAGTCAACCCTGAAATTATTTAGGCTCATCTTTTTATTCTAACAACTGAAATGCTGGAGTAAATAAAAACTAGCTAGAAGCCGCCAAGGTCGTTCCCGTTAACTTATCTTGGCATGTGTTCCACTCCCTCATCATCTTCCTAGACCTTGGTATCGGTACACGCGAAGAAAGAAAACTGATAAGCTTTACGCTTAGTAAGTCACTATGAATCCACAAAAATATCTGAGAAGTCTATGCTAATTTATCAATAGATAAATTTAGGCTATAAGCATGCACTAAACAAACAACTAACATATAGCTTCTCAAATAAATTCTAGGAGAGATCCCCAAAAGAAAATATTTTCTAAAATAATTTCTCAAAACTGTTGGAGAGATTTCAAACTTTCTTTCTCAAAACATTTCTTAAAACTTTCTGAAAGAGATCTCAGAAACAACTTTATGTAAAACTTTTTGAAAGGGATCTCATAAACTTTCTGTAAAATTCTTTGTGGCTAATTTTTAACTGTGGGCCCGTGATATGTACTCAAAGGCGCCAATCCGACAGCTCAGGGGAGCGACCCACTAAACATATCGGACTCTCTGAAACTCTGATAACTCTGTGGGAACTTGTTCCCGAATACATATCACTTAATCTTTCCTTTTAAATATTAGTTCTTTTTACGGTGACGTATGGATAAAAATATCATTAAAATCTTAAAATAAAAGTACTGACATAATCTTGACTATGCCAAATAATAAACATAACTTAATACGACAAATAAAATGACTAATCAAATAATTCACCAAGCTCACATAATAGCAAACAGTCTAAAATCATCTACTAAAAATCAACTAGACTTCTTTCTTTTATTTGGTTCACAGGTGGTAGTGAACTTACATGTTAACAGCTGAACTCAAAATATTCAAATAAGTGTAGCACCTTGATAACGTCTTCCAGCAAGCTCTTCTCTTAAATCTTTCATTAAATGAAATGATACAATAAGAAGCTACTAGTGACTAAACATGACTGTTATGGAGGCTTTACTACTGTGTACCGGAAATCCCCATGAGAAAACTTAATTTATTTGATCTTTTAATATTGTAAACCTGCTAAACCTAAACTGAATGGGGTAATCAATTTTACTTAATACGATAGTACGATAATATTATTATCAAAATCCATGATACTTTGAATCGGAGCTCTATAACTAACTTTGTATGTTTGCTGACTAAAACATCAACTAAATGTTCTTTATCTATTATAATCAAATTGGGAGTCAATTGTAAAAGAATGATCTAGACAGCCCCTCCCTGGGCCTATACTAAACAATTCATTTTGAATCAATATATCCAAGTTCCAGATGGAGAAGATACGACAGTACCATAGCCAACCAAAATTAATTGAACTTGCTATCATTCTGTTTAAATTCTCGGAGAAGGAAAATAAGGTGGCTGCTCTATGAATTGAAAATAAACCTCCCCATATCCGAGTGAAATAGCAGCAGCACCTAAAGCTTAAAATTTAACCTTCAAGTTATACAAAAGTTTTGTTTGTTCTGAAAGCAAACAACAACAACATGTCCCGTTTAAAACATAGACGAGCTGCCTGGGTTTAACAACAGTAGCAATGAAACTGGTTTTGTCTTTGAAATACCAATTCGGAAACAAGATTAATTACTAATACCATAGACTAAAATCAAAGTAGCTCCTGGGCAGTCACTTTTTTTTGTAAACGCACTCTATTTTAAGAAAACAACATTAGGAACACAATAGATTTAAAGGAGACCTAGAAAAACACTTAATTATTTGAACACAAAATAACGTTAACCAAGCTGGGACCAAAGGGCTGAAACAATCATGGCCAATAAGAGAAAGCATGGAAGCGAGATATAAATGACATACCATTCTCAAGTTGTCACTAAAACTGCGACTATTGCTTCAATGGGAGGGTTGAAGGAGAAGAGAAGTTCCTAGCAGAGAAATCAGATAGATCGGCGTTCGGATGCTATGCGGGAGAGGATATGTGCGGATTCTTTCTACGGTCTTAGGCGTATAAGTATACATAGCATTAATCCTAGAGCTTTTATTATAAAAAAGATTACTTATTTCTACGGTGCGGATCCTAATATTCTTTTTAAAAAAAAACCAACATTAAAAGTATTCTCTCTATTTCAAAATAAACTTATTAAACTTTAAAACATTACTTATTTCTTCACTTCAAATTATTAGAGCTTACCGGTCAACGTTACGTGCCAGAACAACACGTGATCAAACAATAAATCACATTAGTCATAGAAGAAACTTATTTAACTAACTAAAACAAATAATATTGATTAATATAACTAGCTTATAAAAATTGGGGTGTTACAACCCTTCTCACCTTATAAAAGTTTCGTCCTCGAAACTTAAACAACATGGTATAGTCTCACATAATTACAATCTAGACTCCTCACTTGGCTTTAGTAAATCTGTAATAGCTTTATACCTTTCACATGGCTACTTCCTTTATTTCTTGAGCATATAACTTAAACGAGAGAAGTTTGTACTGACTTTTCTTCTTATTACTAAATTGATCAAATCTCTAAGATTGGCGAAACAGATAACTACTTCATATTATGACCAAAACAAGGACCAAGAAAACTCTCACTGTTTAAAGCCATTTCTCATGATTTCTCGTGGCACTACAACACAAAAGCACTAGCTCACATCAATCTTTATAAATGAATTAGTTTAACCTGTTTGCTTATTAATATGAAAAAGAAAGACAATACTAAACTTTAACCTTGTCATAAAAACTTATCCCACATACTACTAAAAATGAAATTCAGAATCACATTCCATATGTGTGCTTACATAGGTCAACTTGTCTTTTAAATTGGAGAATAAAACTCTTTCTAAAATTCATCCTTGATTGTTGACATTCTGACATTATAATATATGAAAAAAAATGTGTTCCATTCTCTGTCAGTTTTAAGAGTTCACCCTCACAATAGGATTATGTAGTGTGGAAGGTTGGAGTTATCTCTTTCACCATTTTCTCCCTTCTTTTTGGTTGATGGTTTTAATTATGCTATATTGCCACTTTTTTTTTATACTACTATCTCACAATCTGTTCTTAATGACCATCACAGGGACTCTCTATCCGACCCTAAAAACTGCTAAAATTGCACTATTTTAATGATGTTAATAATTGGACGGTGTTACAAGTTTGTTGTTGTATTTGTGTGACAACTTTAATACTCTCTACTATCAAGACTGCTCAGCATCGGGAAAAACTTTAATCTAGCTTATGAGACAATCTTCATCTAAAAAAAATCCACTATAGTTTGACTTAAATATTCTATCAAAAGGATTTTTTTAACGTCTAAAGTAGATTAAACTACTAAACTTTTTTTTACCCACTCAAGCATCTCAAAAAACATCTTTTCATCAAAAGAAAAATTTTCTTATGGTTTTGTACCTCTGGAACCAAAAACTATAACCTCATTGATTAGTGTCCCGAAGTAGTCAGGAAGGTTGAATGAAATTTTAAAATAGACTCTCCATTATACTTTAGAATTTCAGTTTTGAAAAGAACGAATTCTAATGAGGTGAGCACCCATCTTATTTAGTCTTGAACACAATTTACTAACCGAGGCTAGATGCCTTAATATTTAGAGGAAACCTTCTTGCGAGTAAGTCTTATGTTGATAAGTTATGTTATAAGTTTGAACTAAATCTCCTTGGACTCCCTTTAGAAAATCAGTATGTGGGTTAACAATTAAATTTTAACACTGTAAGGATTATTTTGCTTAGTTTCAAATTTTCATATTTCCAAAATGAACGACGTAATAATTGTTCTGTTTAACAAAAATTGACGTTGTCAAACACATAAATGTCTGACACAAAAAAATACTTGACAACATAAATTCTTTTGTTTTCACTAATGACAACATATTCTAATCTCTTTGCTTCCTCATTCAGCTATGGAAAGATTAAGGAAAGTACTATTTTTTCCCCTCTCTAAATTAAACCCTTCATCCCTTCACTAATCAAAAAGTGATATATTCAAACATGTAGTCTAAATGAGCAAAAAAAATAATAGTTTAATCGTAAGCTTCCTTTAGACCGTTCAATATCAAAAGCTATTTCTTCACTGATATTCCACAATATTGTTCCATCTAACTTTAATATTCTAACTATATAACTTAGAAAGTATTGTTCATTCATAGCGGTAAAGTTTATGTAGCCTTCCAAACAATAAGGAAGTCAAACAGTAAGTAACACATAACTCCACAAAAACTGACAAATGATTACCTGTTAAATCATCTGGTAATAAACTGTACGGGGATGTATCGAAGACTAACTTAGACTACACAAAGAAAATTTTCCGCAATAAAGTTCTATTAAGAGTCCCCTTTTCTTACACAACCTCTTTATTATTATGCTGTAAGATTTCAATTGCAATTATAATCAACTGATCAAGGAATGATCAAGGAATCTACACTCATTCAAAAGAAAATCTAACATCATCGCTAGGTCCTTCTTACTAGTTTCGTATATTCTTAACTTTGACTGACACTATTTTACTCAATACAAGAATCAAATTATATAATTTACTCAACTGTTGGGGTTCAAGCCCTTGAATTGCTGATGACTTATAACAGAAGAATAGTTTGTCATGTCAAACTCATTATACTCTTTATTCTTACTGAGACTTCTACTATTCAAAGAGCATACTACTTCCCAACACGAGCTCATAGGCTGTTGTGATGTTGTCTACATATACTCGTACGTAAATGCTAAAAAGGCTTGTTGGTATCACATCCTATATTTTGTTGAAAGTCTCGTACTCTAGATCTTATTGTATTGAGACACGCTTGACAATCCTTATATTGTGTACAAGAGGTCATAACACTCATGGTTTACCAAGGAGTGGTTTAATCTAATTCTTCCATTGATCTCTTCTAATCTAACTTTAAGAACCAGATACTATTAAAAACTTTTGAATCATGTATATAGACTTTAATGCATGGTTGGTGTGTAGCATATAATGGGCACACAACTATCTTTTTTACCCAAGGAAGTAGGGTGTCGAACCACAGAGAAGCGGGAAATAAAATAATTAAGCACAAACTAAGGATTAAAGTTGGGAATGCGTTTCTTTTGATTTTTGCTTACTTGGAAAAGTAATTAAATAAAAGTGATTGAGAGAAGAGACTTTTATCAACACAAAGTTCAACCAATAGCAAGTAGGGGTAGAAATTGGCAACTAATTGTTCAATGCTCATTTGTAAGACATAATTGCTAATTTTATTCTTAGATAGATTGTGAGAAGTTGTAGATAAATATTTTAGGACCCAACACAAGTCACCTAAAATAAGTAACTAGTCAACATTTCCCAGTGATGGCCAAAACGAGACTAGTTGTTTAAGTGCAACGACAACCTTAATTATTAACTATATTATTTACCCAACCCCGTGGTGTAAATAATATAATTAAATAATTAAATTCTCCCGTAAAACTTCAATCCGGGACAAGGTAAAAGAAGTTTAACAGTGTGTTCAGAAAGTGTTCATTTGTGTATTTAACAAACAATATGTTTATGATTGAGTACTCATAATATATATCACAAACACAACATAATTAATTTTCTGGACACAACAATCTAAATAGAACAAACTTAACAATTAAAATCAATACAAGTTAAAACATTATAAGAACAATTAATTAACCAATTTCTAGCCCCAAATTTATTTAGCTATACATGTTGGGAAACATAGAAATAGGTGAATCCATGATTAAAGTACAAGATTTAATGAGATAAGGAAGATCAAACTTGTGATAGATGACAATCCTTTGAGCTTTGATGCTAATCTTGACTTAATCTTGGATGAGAAAGTGATTAGTTATGGTTGAAGATGAGTTGATGATTTGGGGTTGAGAAATGAAGAGAGAAGGAGGAGGAAATGTTTCTGGGATGTTTAGAGAGAGGTTGGTCCGAACTTATGTGTGGAGGAAGATGGATTAAGGCAATATAATGATAAGGTGATTAATCATTAATTGCTGGGATTTACGAAACAGATGAGTTTATGTACAACAAAGCGCAGTAAAGTTTCAACAGTGGCAGGTAGCTCAATGGATAAGCACTTCAGGGGAAAACTCGGAGATCGTGGGATCGATTCTCGGCTTCAATATTTTGTTCTTTTCTTTGCCGCGTTCAGAAAGAATATAACAATTGCCAGCTGAATATGTACAACATTGATCACTTAGCACATTGGTTGTAGTAGACATTCTTCTACCTTTTCTTCAGGGATCGAATCCTAGCTCCACCATTTTTATTTTTGCTTCTTTTCTTCAATTTACTCCTTATTTGTTTTGAAGGAAATTCCACTTTTATTGACCTCCAACTTGAACTTTTATTTTCTTCTTTTGTTCATTCTAATGTATCCAAATAGCATCAAAAGTACCTGAAAATACAAAATACCCGTGTAGGACTGCACAAGTACAAACTAACGACAAATTATAAAAATATGTACAAAAGTAGAATTTTAATAACTAAAATTAACAACAAACTAAGCCTAAAAAGTGTGTAAAATACAAGTACATCAATGGTAGGTCATTCTAAAGATTTTAAGTGATGAGACTCGATATCTTTTTGGTAACCGAATGGTAAGAATCATATGAGGACAACCTTGGTAAAAAGATTGTACAACATTGTTTACATCTCAATGCCAAAAACTGAGAATACTCTGAAGATTTCTTTGAAACAAGTTAAAACTCAAACTTTTTCTGAAACATGCTTTTGAGGAAATAGCTAAATATTATACTAGTGTATCACTAAAAATACATTCTTATTTGACTTTTGGTAAAAATCACTGGCATGTGATTAATCACTAAACGCATTTAATGATTAATCATCACACTTTAAAACTTATTTTGAAATATGCATTTGCAACTTGAAAATACAATTAAAGCGGTGTTTGACCACCTGTATCTAATATTGGAATCATCAAATTGATGAGGGTCCCTCCTAGCAACTCAAGATTCCAACATGAAATACCAACCCTCAAAACTCTAGAAAAATCATGCCTTTTATGATACTTTTGATATAACATTTGAATCCACTACTTAAGAACATATTCGAAATCCAAGGTGAAGCTTCAACATTTTACACACAAAAGGTTAAGCTACAGCTTATAACTCCTTTAACTTTTTAAACTAAATAAAAACACATAACAAACTGATTTGTATGCTTATGAAAAAAATCTTCTCTCTTGTAAACTCAATTACCGGAGATGTTTAAAAAATTATCATACGAACTCATTATTCTTCTTAATTTTAAAAAATATAACTAACAAGACTTAGGCCATGAATAAACTACCAGCTATTTAAAAAGACAACTGGAATAGCACTGGTTGTGACATAATTCAAGTACTCAATCATGAGAAAATAAAGACTATATGACATTTTTTTCTTATAATTTAACTCGGATTTTAATCATGAGTAACCTCTATGTAGGAGACATACTTACTATGAAAGATCAACCGAGGCTAATATGGAAGGTTGCGAATACGTAATTATGAGAGGTGTATGACTAGAACGATGGTGTTTTTAGATAACAACCCTAAGTACTTCCTAAATAAAGTAGAAGACCTAACTAAAGAATATAGGCACTCGAATAAAATTTTAATCTGAATAACTCGTAATAACACAAAGGTTTTTACGAGTTGAGTACATATTACTCTTACTTGACTTTTCTATGTAACTCATACAAACAACACTCAAACATACTTTCACATAGATAACTTTTAACATAACTAAATACTTACTTGGAAGATGACGAGCACGTGTACGGTGACAAATGAAATTACGGGACAACCTGGGCTCTGATACCAAATTTGTAACGTCCCTCTCAGGGTTAAAGTAAACGTTACATAAACTTACTACTTTAAAAAAAACTGCAATATAGCGACCGTTTGTTTAAGAAATAACCCTGATAGAATCTCAAATATAACTAAAATATAACTCCAAATAAAAACTCAATAAAATCTAGTTATCACCAACAAATGTGATAACCACCTGGATCCGGGAATTTATTCAAACTTCAATCCTCAAATAAAATAAAGTAATAATAATATTTTTATTCTAACAACTGAAATGCTGGAGTAAATAAAAGCTAGCTAGAAGCCACCAAGATCGTTCCCGTTAACTTATCTTGGCACGCGTTCCACTCCCACATCATCTTCCTAGGCCTTGGCCTTACCCTTAGTATCTGTACACGCGAAGAAAGAAAACTGATAAGCTTTACGCTTAGTAAGTCTATCTGAGAAGTCTATGCTAATTTATAAATAGATAAATTTAGGCTATAAGCATGCACTAAACAAACAACTAACAGATAGCTTCTCAAATAAATTCTAGGAGAGATCCCCAAAATAAAATATTTTCTAAAATAATTTCTCTTTTTGGATAAACTGTAAATATATATATCCAAAGAGTTTATGTACATCTGTACAATATCAAAAATAACAAAAGGGGTCATCTCAAGTAAAGATGCCCAATCACCGCCAAAAGAAACACATAACCTAGCCACACTTATGTGCTAGCCATCACAAGATTGGTGATCAATCGCAAAACCCAAAAAAAAAGATTAGAATGTTATCCTATCAAATGGATACATAGCAAAAAGCACTTTATACACCATTAGCTTGATCTGTTTAACCATTTCCCCCACCGTGACTTTAGCTTTCTCAAAGCATATCATATTTCTCATCCTACATGTCAAGTATATCATGTAACACAATGAGAGTCTCACGGCCTTGACTTTAGCATGTGCACCATGATGCTCCTTCTTTATCCATTTGATTGCACTTACTAGTGTAGACATTCTTCTTGATAATCCAAGCCAATCCCGCACAACATCCCAAACCTGACCTGTAAATGTACACTCAAAATATAGGTGTGACACCGTTTCCGGGCCACCCTTACAGAAAAGACAAACATTATCAATTTCCAAAAACCCCAATCTATCATATGTGGCTAATCTCCCCCGGAGAGCTAACCAAGATATGAATGAGAATTTAGGTGGGATATAGCTTTTCCAAATCAGTGACATCCACGGGTGGACATTGCCTTTGGTTCTAAGTAAATCATAAACCTTAGATGAGGAAAGTTTCCCATTTTGGGAAAATTTTCCAAGGCCCTCCACGGACAGGTCCAAAGAAGGGAATTTAGAGACAATCATGTCACGTATGTTACCAATTGCCTTGAAAAGCCTAGAGTCTTTATAGTGTGGAACAAACGTCCACACACACCTATCCCGAAGATACACCCCATGAACCCATTTGACCCACAAAGAGTCCTGCTTATTATGAATATTCCAAAGGGTACGGGATAGTAAAGCACAATTCCATACTCTAGTATCTCTAATACCCAACCCTCCCTCGGCTTTAGGTAAACAAATGTCACACCATGCCACTTTAGCTTGTTTATTGCCCCAAAGGAAGAGTCGGCAAAGAGAAGTGATCCTATCAAGAATGGTCCTTGGCATAGGGAAGATGCCAAGCCAAAAGGCTTGGACACCTTGCATAACCGAAGTAATCAACTCCACTTTCCCAGCATAAGAAAAAGTTTTTGGGTTCCATGCATTCAAATATTCTGTGACCTTATCAATCAAAGGAGAGAACTGGGCAACAGAGATATTCAAAGGTGCAAGAGGAATGCCCAAATATCTAACTGGAAAGGATCCTTGTTGAAAGCCCACCCTTTCAAGGATATATGGTATACGACTCTCCATATTCCCACCAAGAAAGATATTAGTTTTGTCAAGATTGACCATTAAACCATAGACTTTTCCAAAACCAGTTAAAGTATCAACCAAAACCTTAATGGAAGAGTAATTCCCTTTTGAAAATAACATCAAATCATCTGCATAAGCCAAATGTGTAACTTTGAGCTTGGAGCACAAAGGATGATAACGGAAATCAGGACAAGATGTCCTAATTTCTAACAGCCTTGAGAAGTACTCCAAGCATATCACAAACAACAATGGAGACATAGGATCCCCTTGTCTAAGGCCCCTCTTACCCTCAAACCATCCATGGAGTGAACCATTGATGGAAATAGAGAATGAAGAAGTGGAGACACACTCCATAATCCATCTCACAAATAGGGTGGGAATACCAATATCCCGTAATACTCTTTCAAGGAAATCCCATGACACCGTATCATATGCTTTTTTTAGGTCAATTTTGATCATACATCTAGGAGAGGGTCTCTTTCTAGTGTATCCCCTCACTAACTCCTGCGCCAAGAAGATGTTGTCAGACATCAATCTTCCATCAACAAAAGCTCCCTGTGAGAGGTTGATAACCCCAGAAAGACAAGGCCCCAACCTAGAAGCTAATATCTTAGTAATGACCTTGTAAGTAACATTCGTGCATGAAATAGGTCTAAAATCCGACACTGTAGGGGAATGGGTTGTTTTAGGGATAAGAGACACCACCGTGTGGTTCACTTGTTTAAGTAAACTCCCTGAAACAAAGAATTCCTTTACAGCCTCACACATATCACTACCCACCAAGTTCCAATTGTTTTTAAAGAAAGCTGATGAGAAACCATCCGGGCCAGGGGCTTTATCATCTCCAATGTCAAAAACAGCCTCTTTAATTTCCTTATCAGTGACTGGCCTAATAAGATCATTAAAGAGCGTGTGATCAATGATACTTCCCGATGTAATAACCCTTGTATCATAGCTGATAGAGTATATCTAGAGAGAAGTGAGAGCTAGAGAGAGAAGTGCAATAATATGCTTCAATAGAATGATTTGTAACCCCTATAACTACTCCCAAGGGGAGTATTTATAGAGAAAATACGGGCTGGGCTCCCAAGCCTTGGGCTTGGGAGGCCCATTTACAACTGGACCGCTACTGGGCCGAATACAAAGCCACTAATGGGCTGTACAAATGAGTAAGTGTAAAATCCGGTTCTGGGAGGTCTT